GCAGGTACAAGAAGACGCATGGTAAAATCTCTTTCCCATGCCTGCCCAGACACCCTGGTTTCCCCACAAAGGAGCCAGCGTTATCAGTTTCTTGTGTGTAAGCTGCTTTTAAATTGTCCAGTTTTAAAACAATGAAAATCGTACTTATTGGGTTTCCTGTTCCACCACTAGTCAGACTGAGGCACAACCAGGAAAACAGCTCCCCAGCCCAGCTCTGCCCACGACTGCTCATGTGACCACTGCCTGGGATCCTTGCTAAGCGCTGCTCCCTCCCAGGCTACGCCCTCATCCCAGCCCCCACCCGCAGCACTCACTCTTGACTCCACTCACAGGACACAGGACACAACCAGCACCCTCACCCCTCACCCCCTGCCATCCCCGCAGGCCCAGCAGCCCAAGGGTAGCGTTCTCCAGGCTCCTGATTAACTCCGTGTTCCTGGCTGCTCCTTCCTCATTTCCCCTCCTGTCTGGCTGGGCAGGGGCCTGCAGCTAGGACCTGTGGGGTCGAGGCCTGGCCACGGTGATCTGACCAGGCCATGCCGCCTCTGGGCCAGAGGGCATGTTCCCCTCTGTGCTGCAGCTCACACAGGCAGGGTCCACCCTTCACTGCCATCCCTGAGCGTGACCTGAGGCCTCCCTTGCTCCCCTCTCCCCTCAGCAACTTCCTAGCATCTCTTCTGCATCCTTCCCTCCACCCTCCCTTCTTTCCTTCCCTGGCTATTTGGTTCTGTACAGCACACTGAACTCGGGTGCAAAGTGGACCGTGATAAGACGGCCCGAGGTAGAGAAACAAATAGCAGGAGGGCACCGTGCTTGATATTTGACATCAGCACACCCTGCCCGTCAGGTTCCTGCCTTGCACTCTGGCTGGGTGACCTTGGGCAGGTGGCTTAGCTTTTCGGAATCTCCCTGTCTCTGAATGGCGACAGAGAGGGCAGTGGTAAGTGTCCAGGCTGTGCACAAGGCTGGTGTGAGAACTGGAGGTGCAAAGGCTTTCTGAGGAGGAGAGGGTGACAGATGTATGGGGGGCTGGTGGTCCCCCCGGGAATTGGGTATGACGGTGGGGCTGGATCACGAGGGCTCTGGAGGGTGTGCCCTCAGCCTTGGCCAGACACGAATGGGGGTAAGGTGGCCCTTGGGATCGCCTTTCTTTTTCTGTATTTCCATACAAAGATAGACCCTCAGTTTTGTATTTTTTTTTAAGTTGTAACTTTATTGTTTATAATTATGATAGATGCTTAGTATGCAAAATTCAAGTAAAATGGACAAATACAGAGAAGAAAGCAACAAATTGCTCCTCAATCCCACCACCCAGATGTAGCGGGTCAGTCACTTGGTCCTCACACTTCTCTAGGTACATATGCATAGAAGAGGAAGCAGTAGAGCAGCGGTTCTCAACCTGTGGGTCGCGACCCCTTTGCGGGTCGAACGACCCCTTCACAGGGGTCGCCTGAGACCATGGGAACACACGTATTTCCGATGGTCTTAGGAACCGAGACACCGCTCCTCTACCGGTCTCCAGGGGGTCCGCCCACGTGCAAATACAACTGGAGGAGCTGTCTTAAAGGGTCTCGGCGTTAGGAGGGTTGAGAACCACTGCGGTAGAGGGTCAGCAGTTTAGAAATGTGGGGAAATGCACACTTTGGCCTCTCTCCAGGCCAGCACTGGAAAGGGGTGTCTGCCCCGGGAGCCCCCCATCTGTTCTCCGCCTCCGGGAGCGTTGTGTGGGGCGGAGAACTCACGCCACCGTCTTCCAAACCTCCCTATTCAGACAAGTGGAAAAGGGGAGCTGGTTGAAATTAGTCTGTTCTGGCTCAAGAACAGTGGCTTTCACTCTTTTTATTTTGTCCAGTAGAAACCTCGGACAGAGACACATAACTGAAATGAGTCGTATAAAACCCACACGTTCGCCCTGGCCGGTTTGGCTCAGCGGTTAGAGCGTTGGCCCGAGGACCAGAGAGTCCCGGTTCGGTTCCCGCCAAGGGCACGTACCTCAGTTGCAGTTCATCCCCGGCCCCAGTTGGGGCTGTGCAGGTGGCAACCAGTGAATGTGTCTCTCTCCCACTGACATTTCTCTCTGTCTCTTCTTCCCTTTCTCCCTCCTGCTCTATCTGAAGATAAATGCAAAAAAGTGTTCTCAGGACAATTTTAAAAAAACAAACAAACAGCCCTGGCCGGTTTGGCTCAGCGGTTAAAGCGTCGGCCTGCGGTCCGGAGAGACCCGGGTTCAGTTCCCGCTAAGGGCGCGTACCTCCGTTGCAGTTTGTCCCCGGCCCTGGTTGGTTGTGCAGGTGGCAATCACTCGATGTGTCCCTTTCACATCGATGTTTCTCTCTCTCTGTGTTCCTCCTCTCCCTCCCACTCTACCTGAACAAAAAAATGGAAAAATGTCCTCGGGTGAGGATGATAAAAACCAAAAAAAACAAAAACATACGTCCTCATTACGCATGATGTACTCTGCTGTTTTCTTTTCTACACAATTATGTTCTATTCCATTAACAAAACAAATACTTTCAACAATAAAGATAAATTTTAAAAAACAAAGCCTGTCGCACCTACCAAACCAATCACACAAGCTGAAGTTTGAAAAATATCCATAGACAGTGATTTCCAAACCTGGCCTGCATCAGACTCACCTCCCAAGCTCACTGCCCACCGGGATTCTGACTGAGGTCGGGGAGGGGCCAACAATGTGCATTTCTACCAAGTTCCCAAGCGCTGCTGCTGGCCCAGAACCCCGCGGTTAGATTACCCCTCTCCTAGAACGTTTTTTGAGGCAATGTACTCCTTTGGCAGAGACTACCAGAGGATTGCTTTATTCAACAGATGAGAATCACTCATGGCTAGCACAAGAAGTGTGGGTCTCTGACATTTTTGAGGAAACTGGCCAGGCACTGTCTTTGGGATCTTAAACCCCACCCTCCTACAATCCACCTCCCACTATTAATATCAAGTGTTGAATATAGAAAAGGTCTGCTAAGCAAAGGGACATTTATGCCCTGCCCTGGTTGAATTACCTGCCTCTTAAATCCCAAGCCCACAGAACATAAAACCCTCCCAGCCCTTTTGAAAACACTGTTCTTCTATAGGCAATGAAAGGTACCATTTACTATGTGAGTTTCACCTTTCTGGTTTTTTTAAAGGGAAGAAAGTGGGTCAAGCATGACCGCCCCATGAGGAAAGCTGCCCCCTGGCTCTGGCTGGGGTCTGGTGGGCTTCATCGGCTGCTTCTGGATTCCCAGCTTGAACTGGAGCTCTTCCTGGCATTGTAGCTGAGCGCCCACCTCAGCACCCTGGCCTCCCAGCCTGCTGACTGCTGCGCCTGGCCTATGTTCTAAGCTGCCTCTGCTCTTCCAACAGCTCCCACCACTAATCCCCCCTCGAAGCCTGGGCCCCCGTGGCCCCCTCCCCAGCCTTGCCGTCCTCCAGAAGCCAGGCCTCGGCTGGGAGCAGCCTCGGGAGGGGGAAGTGTTAAGTGGGCACAGAGCCCCTCTGTTCTGTTAACAATGGCCCCTTGATGACTGGATTCTGCCCAGTCGGCCCCCTTGACTGGACTTTGGGGAGGAGGAAGGACTCCAGCCCCCCAGGCAGCCATTTCTGGGTGTGAGGTTGATTCAGAGGCCTCAGCCTCTGTCTGCCCACAGAACCTCATTCTTCAAGCCCTGATGTAGCAGCGAAAGCCCTCTCACCCTCCCACCCCATCCCAGGGGCAGTTGGGGCCCCAGGAGTGATTCAGTTCGGTCTTATCCAACAGTCATCTATTGAAGAGCTGCTGGCCACTGAGGATGGTGCTAAGTAGCTGTGGGGAACAAGAATAACTGCTAACATGAATTCAGTGCTTGTAGCCAACCCACCCCTAGTGCTCTGCAGTCGCTAGGGGGCTTGTAAACATTCCAGTGCACAGACAGCCCGCCCTGGATCTCTGGGAGTGCACCCCAGGCACTGATACTTTGTACAAGATCTCAAAGTGACTCTCATGCCCAGCTGGAGTAAGCACCATGGGCCTCCTGCCGGTTAGGTTAGACGGTGCTAAGCGTTTACCTTGTAGCATCCCACTTCATGAGGTGGGTGCCTGTGAGGGGCTGAGTAATGGCCCCCCCAAAGATGTCCATGTATGAATCCCCTGTACCTGTAGAGATGGTACCTCACGTGGTAGAAGGGACTTTGCTGTGTGAGTAAGGATTTTGAGATAGGAAAATTATTCTGGATTATCCAGTGGGCCCAGTGTAATCATAAGGGTCCTTATAAGAAGGAGATTTACTACAGAGGAGGAGGTTAGAGTAACACATCAAGACAAAGACTCACCCGCTACTGCTGGCTTCGAAGACGAGGAAGGGGCCCGAGCCCTGGAGAGCAGGCAGCCTCTAGAAGTTGGAAAGGGTAAGGAAACCTAGAGCCTCTAGAAGAAACAGGCCTTGATTTTAGGCCAGAGAGACTGATCTTGGGCTCGGACTTCAGCCCTAGGAGAATAATACAGGGCTACTGGCCCTGTTCTACCGCCAAGGCGGTCACCTGGGACCACACAGCTGGTGAGCGGTAGAGTCAGAACAGGAAGAACCCAGGTGCACCTGACCCCGTAATCAGTGTTCTCACCACACTGCCCTCCTTTGCAGCCAGACAAGTGTAGGTTCACATTCCAGCCCTGCCACATTCCATCCGGTGTCCTTCACTAATGGTGGGGCCATTTGGCCAGAGGAAGGCTGTGGGGCAGGGAGAACAGGGTGTGGAGACCAGTTGGAAAGCGGCGGTGGGCCAGGTGGTCCCCAGGTGGAACGCCATGTGGAAGCGTCAGAACTTGATTCTGGAGGAATGGAGCCGCAGGATGCTGTCCTGGTCTCCGCCGCATTCACGGTGCTGTCTCAGGCATGCTCAGTTCCTGAGGTCTGGCCCACAAGCAGCCACCACGCAGAACCACAGATCTGGGACCAGGAGCAGCATTCTGCTCCTTGTTCCCCGCCGCCAGCGACAGCTACTTATCTGGGGCCGCCAGTGGGCTCCCACTCCCTGGGAGATGAGATATGTCCTGGTGTCTGCAACACATGTTTCTTTCAAGACTATCAAGAGCCTTGTATTTGGAGGAGTGTGAGACATGAAGAGGTCTAGAGAGTTGTCCAAAGTCACACAGCAAGTTGGTCACAGGGCTCTGTGGTCACAGTCCTGGTGCCTGGCCAGGACTCTGAGCTGCCCACTGTGCTCCCGTTTTTGCTAACTGCTTGCTCGGTGATACAGCATAGTGGTTGGATTCATGGACTCTGAGCCCGGCTGCCTGCATCCAAACCCCAGCTCTACCTGGCAACCAAGGACAAGCTGTTTGGGCTCTGCTTGCCTGAGATGGAGGTGGTGGTTATCATCTACTGTTATCTAGGTACCGCTGTGCCTTTCTCATAGGGTTGTTCAGAGGACTGAGTATGTATGTGTGTGAGGTGTTTGGAACAGTGCCTGGTTCAAGGACTCGCCAAATGAATTTACTTGTTGAATGTGAACTTTTATCATCTGTAGGGTCACTAGATATTTTCGCAAATGTTTTCACTTTTTTTTTTTTTTTGTAGCTCTGTTTTTATTTTTAATTATTTTTTTATAATTAATTAATTTATTTTTGTTACAGATGTTTCTCCTTTTCCCCCCACTGATTCCCCCCTCCCTTTCCCTCCCCGCCCTGCCCCCAGCTTTGTTGTCCATGTCCATTGTTCATGCACACATGCATATAAGTTCTGTGGTTTATCTCTCCCCCACCACCCCCTCTTCTGGGGATTGTCAGTCTGTACCCCACTTCCACGTCTCTGGGACTACCCCATTCCTCAGACTGTTATGTTCATTATATTCCACATATAAGTGAGATTGTATGATACTTGTCTTTCTCTGTCTGGCTTGCTTCGCTTAGTATAATACTTTCCAGGTCCCTCCATGTCATCTCAAAAGATAAGAGATCTTTCTTACAGCTGCATAGTACTCCATTGTGTATATGTATCACAGCTTTTTTATCCATTCATCTACTGATGGACATTTGGGCTGTTTCCAGATCTTAGCTATTGTAAATAGTGCTGCTACAAACATGGGGGTACATATATTCTTTCTGATTGGTATTTCAGGCTTCTTAGGGTATATTCCTAGAAGTGGGATCACTGGGTCAAATGGCAGTTCAATTTTTGATTTTTTGAGGTAACACCATATTGTTTTCCGTAGTGGCTGCACCAGTCTGCATTCCCACCAGCAGTGTACTAGAGTCCCCTTTTCTCCACACCCTCGCCAACACTTGTTTGATGATTTGTTGATGGTGACCATTCTGACAGGTGTGAGGTGATACCTCATTGTTGTTTTAATTTGCATCTCTCTGATGATTAGTGATGTTGAGCATGTCTTCATATGTCTCTTAGCCATTTGTAGGTCCTGTTTGGAGAGGTGTCTATTTAGGTCCTCTGCCCATTTTTTAATTGGGTTCTTTGTCTTCCTTTTGTTGAGTTGCATGAGCACTCTGTATATATTGTAAATTAACCCCTTATCTGATATATCATTGGCAGTTATGCTCTCCCATACAGTGGGTTGCCTTTCCATTTTGATGATTGTATCTTTTGCTGTGCAGAAGCTTTTGAGTTTGATGTAGTCCCATGTGTTCATTTTCTCCTTTGTTTCTGTTGCCTTAGGTGATGTATCAGTGAAAATTGTGCTGCGTATGATGTCTGAAATTTTGTGGCCTACAGTTTCTTCTAGGATTTTTATGGATTCATGAGTTACATTTAAGTCTTTTATCCACTTTGAGTTTATTCTTGTGTATGGTATAAGTTGATGGTCTAGTTTCATTTTTTTCATGCAGCTGTCCAATTTTCCCAACACCATTTATTAAAGAGGCTGTCTTTACTCCACTGTATGTTCTTGCCACCTTTGTCAAATATTAATTGAGCATATTGCCTTGGGTCCATTTCTGGGTTCTCTGTTCTGTTCCACTGGTCTATAAGCCTGTTCTTGTGCCAGTACCAAGCTGTTTTGATTACAGTGGCTTTGTAGTATAACCTGAAATCTGGTAATGTGATCCCTCCAACTTTGTTCTTTTTCAAGATTGCTGTGGCTATTCGAGGTCTTTGTTTGTTCCATATGAATTTTTGAAGTATTTGTTCTAGTTCTGTGAAGTATGTCGTTGGTATTTTGATGGGGATTGCATTGAATCTATAGATTGCTTTGGGTAGTATGGACATTTTAATGATGTTAATTCTTCCAATCCATGAACAAGGTATGTGCTTCCCCTTTTTTATATCTTCCTTTATTTCTTTTTTCTATGACCTGTAGTTTTCTGCGAATAGGTCCTTTATTTCTTTGGTTAAGTTTATTCCTAGGTATCTTAATTGTTTTGCCACAATGGTACATGGGATTGTTTTCTTAGTTTCTCTTTCTGTGAGTTCATCATTGGTGTATAAGAATGCCATTGAGTTCTTGACGTTAATTTTGTATCCTGCTACTTTGCCAAATTCATTTATTAAGTCTAGTAAATTTTTGATGGAGTCTGTGGGGTTTTCTGTGTATAGTATCATGTCATCTGTGGAATAATGACAGTTTCACTTCCTCCTTTCCAATTTGGATCCCTTTTATTTTTTCTTTCTGTCTGATTGCTGTGGCTAAGACTTCCAGTACTATGTTAAATAAGAGTGGTGAAAGTGGGCATCCCTGTCTTGTTCCTGTTCTTAAGGGAAATGCTTTTAATTTGCCCATTGAGTGTGATGTTGGCTGTAGGTCTTTCATATATGGCCTTTATTATGTCGAGATATGATTTCTCTATTCCCACATTGCTGAGCGTTTTCATTAGAAATGGATGCTGGATTTTGTCGAAGGCTTTTTTGGTATCTATTGATATGATCATGTGGTTTTTATTCTTCATATTATTTATGTGGTGTATTACATTTATTGATTTACGAATATTGTACCAGCCTTGCATCCCTGGGATGAATCCCACTTCATCATGGTGAATAATTTTTTTGGTGTGTTGCTGGATCCGATTTGCTAGTATTTTGTTCAGGATTTTGGCATCTATGTTCATCAGGGATATTGGCCCGTAGTTTTCTTTCTTTGTAGTGTCTTTTTCTGGTTTTGGAATTAGAATTATGCTGGCCTCATAAAATGAGTTTGGAAGTCTTCCTTCTTCGTGAATTTTTTGAAATGGTTTGAGGAGAATGGGTGTTAGTTCTTTTTTGAATGTTCGGTAAAACTCCCCCGTGAAGCCATCTGGGCCTGGGCTTTTGTTTGCTGGGAGAGTCTTGATTACATCTTCAATTTCCTTAGTTGTTATTGGTCTGTTCAAGTTTTCTCTCTCTTCCCAGTCCAGTTTTGGGAGACTATGTGTTTCTAGAAATTTGTCCATTTCGCTTAGATTGTCAAATTTGTTGCCATATAATTGTTCATAGTAGTTGTTAAAGATATTTTGTATTTCTGTGGTGTTAGTTGTTACTTCTCCTCTTTCATTTCTGATTTTGTGCATTTGGGTTCTCTCTCTTTGTTTCTTGGTGAGTCTAGCTAAGGGTCCATCAATCTTTTTTATCTTTTAAAAAAACCAACTCTTTGTTTCATTGATCCTTTGAATTGTTTTTTAGGACTCTATGTCATTTATTTCTGCTCTGATCCTTATTATTCCCTTCCTTCTACTTGCTCTGGGGTTTTCTTTCTGTTTGCTTTCTAGTTCTTTAAGTTGTAAGGTGAGATAGTCTATTAGAAATTTTTCTTGTTTCTTGAGGTAGGCCTGTAGTGCTATGAACTTCCCTCTCAGAACTGCTTTCGCTGCATCCCAATGATTTTGTGTTGTTGTGTGTTCATTTTCATTGGTTTCCAGGAAGTTTTTAATTTCTTCCTAGATCTCCATGGTAACCTATTCATTGTTCAATAACATGCTATTTAGCCTCCATGTTTTCAAATGTCTTTGTGTGTTCTTGGTGCAATTGATTTCTAGTTTCATGCCATTGTGATCTGAGAATATGCTTGATATGATTTCAGTCTTCTTGAACTTGTAGAGATTTAGTTTGTGTCCTAACATGTGGTCTATCTTTGAGAATGTCCCATGTGCACTTGAGAAGAATGTGAATTCTGCAGTTTTGGGGAGTAATTCTCTGTAGATATCTATGAAATCCCTTTGCTCTAGTGCATCATTTAGTGTCTGTGTTTCCTTGTTAATTTTTTGACTAGAACATCTATCCAGTGATGTCAGCAGGGTATTGCAGTCCCCTGCTATGATTGTATTGCTGCTGATTTTTCCTTTGAAGTCCTCCAAAAGGTTTTTAATATATGTTGTTGCTCCTATATTTGGTGCATATGTGTTTACCAAGGTTATATCTTCCTGTTGGATAGATCCTTTCAATATTATGTAGTGACCTTCTTTGTCTTTAGTTAAAGCCTTCGTTTTGAGATCTATTTTATCGATATGAGTATTGCTACCCCAGCTTTTTTTTCCTTTCTGTTTGCTTGAAAAAAATTTTTTTCCATCCCTTCACTTTCAACCTATGTGAGTCTTTTGTTGTGAAGTGGGTCTCTTGTCAACAATATATATGTGAGTCATGCTTTCTTTTTTTTTTTTTTTTATCCTCACTCGAGGACATTTTTCCATTTTTTTGTGCAGATAGAGCGGGAGGGAGAGAGCGGAAGAGAGAGAGAGAGAAACATTAATGTGAAGGGACACATCGAGTGGCTGCCACCCGCACGACCAACCAGGGCCAGGGACAAACTGCAACTGAGGTATGTGCCCTTAGCGGGAACCGAACCCGGGTCTCTCTGTACCGCAGGCCAACGCTCCAACCGCTGAGCCAAACCGGCCAGGGCAAGTCATGCTTTCTTATCCAGTCAGCTACTCTGTGTCTTTTTATAGGAGCATTCAAACCATTCACATTTAAGGTGATAATTGATATGTACTTATTTATTGCCATTTTTGTTTAGTGTGGTCTATTTTTCTTCCTATTTCTTCTACTAATTACAGCAGTCCTTTTAGCATATCTTGCAGTGCTTGTTTGGTGTGAATATATTCCCTTGGTCTTTTTCTGTCTGAAAAGCTCTTTATTTGACCTTCTGTTTTGAATGATAGCCTTGCTGGATAGAGTAGTCTTGGATTCAGATCCTTGTTCTTCATGATCTTGATTACTTCATGCCACTCCCTTCTGGCCTGTAGTGTTTCTTGTGAGAAGTCAGCTGAGAGCCTTATGGAGTTTCTTTGTAGGTAACCTGTTGCTTATCTCTTGCTGCTTTTAGGATTCTCTCTGTCTTTAATTTTTGGCAGTTTGATTACTATGTGTCTTGGTTTGGGCCTGTTTGGGTTCTTCTTACTTGGGGCTCTCTGTGCTTCTTGAACTTGAATGCCTTCTTCCTTCACCAAGTTAGGAATGTTTTCTGTCACTATTTCTTCAAATATATTCTCTAACCCTTGCCCATTTTCTTCTTCTTCGGGGACTCCTACGCTGTGAATGTTATTACGTTTCCAGTTGTCCCACAGTTCTCTTAAGCTGTCTTCCTGTTTTTTAATTTTGTTTTGTTTTGTTTTCTGATTGGTTGATTTTTTTCTACCCTGTCTTCTAATTCACTGATCTGGACCTCAGCTTCCTCTACTCTGCTGTTTAGCCCTTCCAGTGTGTTCTTTATTTCTACTATGTCATTCTTCATTTCCACTTGGTTGGCTTCTTTCTTTCTTTTTTTATCCTCATCCGAGGACATTTTTTTTTTCATTTTTGGTTTAGATAGAGTGGGAGGGAGAGGGAGGAAGAAAGAGAGAGAGAGAAACATCAATGTGAAAGGGACACATCGAGTGACTGCCACCTGCACGACCCATCAGGGCCGGGGACAAACTGCAACCGAGGTACGCACCCTTAGTGGGAACCGAACCCGGGTCTCTCTGTACCGCAGGCCAACACTCTAACCACTGAGCCAAACTGGCCAGGGCACTCGTGGTTGGTTTTCAATGTTTCTATATCTTTACTCATGGTGCTGATGTCCTTACTCATGCTGTTGAGCTTCCTCAAGATCATGGCTCTGAACTCTACCTCTGATAGTTGCTTAGCCGCATTTCATTTATCTCATCTTCGATAGAGTGTTCTTGTTCTTTCCTTTGGGATTTGTTTCTTTGTTTCACCATTTTGGTTATCTCAGTGGGTTTTGCAGCCTGCCAAATTTTACCTGTGGGTGTTGATGATCTGCTGTTTGTGGCTCCCTCTATTGCGTTTGGATGAGCCTGTGTGGGCCCACGTTAAATGCCACTGTCAAGTCTTACTTTCCTGGGTAGATTTGCAAACCAAGGAAAGGTTCAGTTATCCTCTAGCTTTTTCCTGGTGGCTAGTAGTCTCAGTTACTCAGTGCCTTGGAATGTAGCCCTGATGTTCCATATAAGAAGATTTCCAGAGGGTGGGATAGATGCTGGCTGTTAATGAGCCTCAATTTGCTATTTTTTGCCTCACCTGGGAAAGGCTGAATCTCTTGGGGTGGGGGAGCTGCTGCTTTTCCCCACAGCTCGGGGAACGAGCACACTGGCCACCGTCCTTTATGGCCGCAACCCAGCAAAAACTCTGAGTGCCCTCCAAATCCACAGAGTTCCAGCCCAGTCTGTCCTCCCTCTACCATAGCCTCCAGGTGAGTGGCTGTGGCCATTTTAGCGCTCTGTCCCGGCTGTTTGTGCCATGGAGCGGGTTTGGTCATTCCCCGAGGGTGCTGCTCACAGCTAAAACTGCTGCTGTCTGTGGGCTCCAGCCGCCACCCTCTCGCACCTGCACAGATTCTACCAGTGTCCCTGGTTATATGGTCCTGTCCTGCTTTTCTGTTACTTTTTTTCTGAGGATTTGTCTTTATTAATTCCCGTTTGGTCCTGGGAGATCATCTGTGTATCTTCTATTCACTCCGCCTCCATTTTCACATCCTCTACGCCTATCTTGTGCACAGCTGGGTTGCACAGGCCTTTCTGGTGCCCCCGCACCCTGCAAGTCCCATGGGTAACTGGATGGCACAGTCCCTTTGGGGACCAGGCTCTATGCCTATGTTATGGGCTGCTGGGTCGCACGGGCCTCTCTGGTGCTTCAGCAGCTGGCAGGTCCCGCGGGTAACTAGATTGCACAGTCCCTGCTGGGTGGCACCGGCCTCTCTGGTGCTTTAGCACCCCACAGGTCCCATGGGTAACTGGATCACACAGTCCCTGCTGGGTCGCACAGGCCTCTCTGGCGCCCCCGCACCCTGCAGGTCCTGTGGTTAACTAGATTGCACAGTCCCTGCTGGGTCGCACAGGCCTCTCTGGCGCCCCCGCACCCCGCAGGTCCCGTGGTTAACTAGATTGCACAGTCCCTACTGGGTTGCACAGGCCTCTTTGGTGCCCCTGCACCCTACAGTTCCTGTGGGCGGGCAGCTAGATCGCACCAGTCTCTCTGGGGCTCGGGATTCCCACTGCGCTTGTGAGCTACTGGACCACACAGGCCTCTGTGGAGCCCCAGGTCCCACCACTGGTGGCTGGGGAGTGCTGCTGCCCCGTGGGGCTCAACTCATACTCAGCTTTTGCTGTATTTTGGGGGGATGGGTCTCAGCTGCTAGTCCGTGCTTCTGTTGCCTGGGGATGGATGTCTGCTCCCCAGCCTCTGTTGCTGGAGGTATATCTGGACTCTGATTGGGCTGCTACTATGGGGGACGGTGCTGGGCTCCGGGCTGTCTGCGGCTTCTGCAACCGGCACCTTGGGAGCTCCACTACTGTGCAGGGGTCTGTGTTGGCACAGAGTGTCCACTGATCCGATGGTGCCAGGTGTGCTGGTGGGCTCAGGTTGCTGGGCCCTAGCTGCTCCCACGGCCTCCTCCCAGGGAAGACCTGGGATCTTCCAAAATGGTGGGACCTCCCTGCAGTGCAGGGAGAAGCGCCCTGAAGGGCCGCTCACCGCGGTAGCCGGCTGCTCCGTCCACAGCACAGGGACCTCTGCTCCGCGGCTCTGCACTGCTCGGGTCTGGTCGTCTACCTTCGCGTCCACTCACACTCTCTCACATACTCACCCTCCCTCTCTCACACACTCACCCTCCCTCCGGTCGCCAGCATCTTTTGTAGCTCTCCCTGTTTTCACTTTTTAGAAGCTCCACCTTAGTTTTTCAAACCCTTCCCCTCTTTCTTCTTATCTGAGAGCTGCAGGATTTCCGTAAGCACCCGAAGCTGGCTTTGCCCCTCAGGGAGTGCCCCGAGCAGTTCAGAGACAACCCAGATGTACAGGCCTCGCCGGTGCGTGTTGCAGTCAGCATGGTGCCCGGAGCACCCCACTGCTGGCCGGCCTGCTGAGTCTCCCTGGGATCTCTGGGTTGCTTGGGCTCCGAGCCCTGCGGGGTCTCACGTGGACTCTGCCTGCTCCCAGCTCCTCTCTGCCTGGAGCTCCTGCCAGGTCTTCAGCTGATGGGGGTCAGATATCACGTCATTCCCCCCAGAGCCCTGTCCCCCCTTCTTTCCCCTCCTGTGAGGATGTGACTTCCTCCTTGAGTTGTTTCTTCATTCAGCTTCCCCTCAGAAAGCCCCCAGCCTGTCTACGCAAGGGGATGGACCCCAGGAGGGCCACCAGTCCATAACTGTACAAAAGGCAACCCGGAGTTTCAGTTTGGATTTAACCAGATGGCTCTCCTGCCCCCAGAAGGCCATTCTGCTCAGTCTCATCACCCACCTCTAGCTCCATTTTCCAAAGATCTCTTTAGACCCTGCCTACTGCCCTGGGAGCTAGCTTTTTCTCTTTTTAGTTAAACGTTTTAAAATTTAAGATAATTGTAGACAGAAATAATAGAGAAAGATCCCATGAGCCCATTACCCAGCTTCCCCTGATGGTAACATCTTACAAAACTCTAGTCCAGCCCTGGCCGATTTGGCTCAGTGGTTACAGTGTCAGCCTGCGGTCCAGAGAGACCCGGGTTCGGTCCCCGCTAAGGGCACGTACCTCGGTTGCGGTTTGTCTCTGGCCCGGTTGGGGTCATGTGGGTGGCAGCTACTCAATGTGTCTCCCTCATACATTGATGTTTCTCTCTCTCTCTCTCTCCCTCCCACTCTATCTGAAGATTGATGCAAAAATGACCTCAGGTGGGGATAAAAAATAAAAAGAATTGAGTCAAATTGTAGGACTTGCTTGCTGTTACGGGGAAATCCACACGTCTGGTGACCAGGAATAGTGTTCTACATAAAAGTCAAGAAGACACAAGGAAGAAACACGGTGGGGGACTACTGGGTTTTCCTTACACAGAACGGGTAAAAAGCTGTTTTTCCCTCTACGCCACAGTACAGCGGAGCAGGTTTGAAATGGACCACCAAACACGGGCCCAGAAACTCCCCCGAGCACTTACATCCCGAGTAAAACAAGGAACACAGACCTATTCGAGGCATCCGTCCCTGGCCCGCAGGAGTCGGCAGCCCCCTGCAGTGTGGCAGCTGAGCTGGGCGGCAGGCGGGGCTCTGCTCTCCACGAGGCCTGGGGGAGCTGGGGGCTCCGAGGTATGGCTCTCAACCTTGCCCAGTCTAGGTCAGCGTCCCCTGGGAAGCGCTGAACGCTCGTGCCCCAAACATCCCCAGAACAATTCAGTCCTGATCTCTGGGGTAGGACCCAGGCCCCTGTGAGTTCTGAAACTCCCCAGGTGATTTTCATGTGCTGTCAGGGTCAAACACAGCACCCGGCGGACCCAGCCACGGAGACGTCACCTGGCAGTCCCCGCGCTCTTGTCCTCTGGCTGTCTGCCCGCCTTTTCAGGAACAGCACCCCAGGCAGCCACTTCCAGTTGCTCAGCCTCGGCCCGCGTGAAACTGATGTGCTGTCCCGGCGGGAAGCCTGAAGCTGTTTGGCAGTGGCCACGTCCAGGTGTCTCTAGGCCCCGGGAAATAAGTTTGACCTCAGACTTGTTCTCATCACAGTGCTGCAGGCAGCCAATACCAATCTGTTGGCTTGGGCTCATGGATGAAAGCACTTGCTGTCCTCAGCTTGATGGCATTTTTGGTTCAAGGTGCTGCCCACCTGGTACACTCGCCATCTTTGTCGAGCGTCCTTTTGCTTGTGCTGGGTTAAGTTCTTCACAAAGTTTCTTAGACAGCTTGTCATTAAAGTAAATTTTAAGCACTAACTGTGTACAGTAAGTCCTCACTTAATGTCATCAATAGGTTTCTGCAACTTTAAGCAAAATGACGTCATGAAACCAATTTCACCGTAGGCTGATATATAAACGCGAGTTAAGTTCCTACGGCATATTTCTGGTCACAAAAACATCACCAAACTTCTAAATAAAAACCCAAAACACTTGTGATACTAAACTTTGAAATGAATGTGAGCTATGAACACATTTAAGAAAGATTCATAAAAACAAATAATTATTTTCCAACCTGCTTATTCCATTCCGGGGTCGCGGGTAGCTGAGCCTGTCCTGGGGCTCAGGGCACAAGGTCAGCCTTCACCCCGGACAGGAAACCCTTCCATGGCAGGGTGCATTCGCACACACACACGCGCACACACACACACAGACAATTGAGACGTGCCAATCACCCCACGTGCACATCTTTGGGATGTGGGAGGAAACTGGGGAACCACAGGACACCCAGGCGGACATGGGGAGAACCTACAGACTCCACACAGACGGTGGCCCCAGCTGGGAATCGGTTTTTTTTCTTAGCGTTATAATGAAACAACGTTGAACAAAATGACATTATTCAAGGACCTGCTGTATAGGGCAATGGATTGGACCAGAACTCCATACACTCCTTTTATTCCAGTTTATTTTATAACTACTTCCTTTTATTTGGAAAAGATAATAAATAAAAGTAATAACAAATTCAAATAACACAAGGGGTATAAATGAAATGCGGGTTCCCATTCCCACCCCTATTTCTCAGCTCCCTCAACCTCTCCTCTCAGTTCCTTGCTTCTCTGTCTAGAGGAACTTGCAGTGTGCCCAGCTGTCCTGCGTGGCCACCCGATATGCGCAGGGGGCAGTACCACTCTTGCCCCTGCTTGTATCACTCATATCTTGAACAGTGTTGCACATCAGCCCGTACAGAGCTACCTCTTTCTTTTCCATCATTACAGAGTATTGCACTGATAAATGTCTGTCATTTACCTAAATGGCGGTTTGGTTTCGGGGTTGTTTTTTTTGTTGTTGTTTTTGGTTTTGTTTTTGCCTATTCCTCAACATTAAGGTCATTTTCAGCCTTTTGCAATTATAAACTGTTTGCTATCATGTGTGTCCTTATAACTGTGCAAGTGTATCCACAAGATTAATTCCTAGACATTCTAGAGTTTCCACAGGGTCAGAGTGTGCATGTTTAAAATTCCGATGGTCTTGCCACATTGACCTTCAAAACGCACACTCCTATGAGCATTATGGGAGAAGCCTATGCGCTAGGACAGAGCAGGCTGTGCTGCAGTAGCAAGTGACCCCCACCCCTCAGAGGCTCAGCACGACGAAGGCTTGGCTTTCACCTGCGGCACATCTGGTGCAGGTTGGGTGGCTCTCCAAACAGCAGCTCGGGATCTGGGCTGCTTCCAGAGTGTGCTGAGCCGTTGGCACATGTGGCCTCCAGCGTTGCCGCAGCAAGAGAAGGGAGGGCCGGGAGTGTGTGGGGTCATTGTGAAGACCAGGACCTGAAGCGCCTTACGTCACTTTATCCTACACCCCACTCATCAGAACCGGGCCAGATGGCCTCCGCCTCACTGCACGGGAGGCTGGGGAAGGTGGAGGGCACGTGGGCACCTGAGGAGCACCAGGTTGCTTCCCCAAACGTCACCCACACAGTATTTTATAGAAGTTTGTTCTTCCATCTACTATGTGGGAAAACGGCCCCAGGCGTCGTTCCGGTCTGTCCTCATGCGCTTTCTTTAGGCGACTGGCCTCCATCTCTTTCTGTTCTACACCCAGAGCGGACTGTGTTCACACTCAAGGCACGCTCCCGTGGACTTGCCCACATTTTCCAAAAACCAAAAAAACACTTTGTGGGGAAGCCCGAAGACTTTTTAATTTTGGCTCCTATTCATAAAAACATATAAAGGAATGTGAGTAATAATATAAAATTAGCCACGTGGAGATCCGTGCCAGCTGTGGACTGGCGGCGGTTCTGTGCAATTTCCGAGGCTCTCCGAACCCACCTCCCCGCGTTCGCGAAAGCGCGGCCGAGCGAGGGGAAGGGGGCGTTGCAGGAACCCTGCGTCACCCACAGCTGCTCTTTTCAAAAAGCGATGTGTCTTTGGCATATTTTGATGAGTTAACTGTTCTTAGCAACCTCATCGTTAATTGTAATTGTGGTATCGGCTAAATGACAGGCTCGGAGGACGGATTTACAAGACACGTGCTTGAATGGAGGGTTTATGTGCGAGGACTTGGGATTTGGGCTGGCATTGCTGAGTGAGGCCAGACAGTGGAGTGCCAAACTAAGGGGTGCTGAGGAATTCTGTCTGGTGGCCGCTAAGGATCCTATAAAGTTGGAAGGGCAAATTGGTTTTATCTCACATCCCAGCTCTAATGGATTGGCACTCCATCAAGAAGGCTTATGAGGCTACATCTAGTCTCAGCTGAAGAGGATGACGATTGATGAGTGATGTCTGCTGTAGGCAGGACTGCTGAGTGGTGGAAGGTGCGCCAGCATTAGCCATCCCCGGGCTAAAGGTCCTGGAGTGGGCTAAGCCCTGAGAGCCAGGGTGGTAAGGTTGGGCAGGGCCATCACTACCCTGGGAGACGGGAGAACCGCCGGCAGTTTGAGTTTTGTGACCAGGCAGTGGCGCGCCATGGCCATGCGCTCCCCTCTCTGAGCCTGAATTCCTACAGATAAAAAATGAGGAAGGGTGGATAAGAAAATTCCCAAGCCCTGTCCAGTCCTGACATTCTGCAGTTTTAGGGAGAGAGCCATGATTTTCATGATGGGTGGGGTGGTGCACGGGACAGATTTCTCTTGGACCTTTCGGAAGGACGTGGCCTCTCAGACTTGTACAGTTGAAGACAAGAACCTAAAGTTGGGAAGCCCCGCTGCTTTGTGTTAGGCTGCTGGCCCGAGCCTCTGACATGATTCTGTTGTGGGGGCAAAACCCACTGGCATTCAGCTTGTCCTGACGTCTCCAGCCTGAAGCCTCGTTGCCTGCCCTTCGCAACAGTCAGAGGAGAGAAGGCTGCACTGCAAGGGTCCACTGTCCCACAGGGCTCCCTTCGCTCCTGTGGCCGCTCTTGTCCACGTGCTCAGCCCTTCCTGACCATGCAGCGCCCTGTGGAAGGTGTGAGCAGCTCTGGCCTGCAGGGAAGCTGGGCGGAGAGCAACCTTGAGGGTTCTGCCTATGGTGTTTCTGGGTCTCTCTTTGGCTGCCCTGCTGCCTCTGGGCTACAGGTGGTTACAGTGCCTGGGATGGGGAAAGTCACCGAGTTTTTCTCCAGATGAGGCCAGGAGTCCAGAATGAGGTGCCCAGAGCCAAATGCCATCCATAAATGAGTGAGTGGTGGCCTGAGGGACATTTCTAGCTGGTGGTCAGGTCAGGTTATCACTGCTTCTTCGCTTGTATATTTGTAGGGGACTGAGACCCCGATTCCAGCACTCACCACCAGGGCACAAGCCACAGTGCTGTATCGGTAAGGACGGGTCGAGTGGTTCCACTAGCATTTCACTAGCAACTTCTCATCGAATTCCTCGTGACCACTGAGTTTGCAATAGATGCTGTAAATGTCCCCATTTGCAGAAGAGGAGACCACTCAGGTTTAAGTTCCTTTCCCAAGGTCACAGGGCCTCAAAGACAATAAGTAAAAGCAAGGAAGTCGGGGTACCCACAGCTGCAGAGAGAATCGCCGTGAACTTGTTCAGACTTTTCCAGAGTGTTTGTCTCTGTCTATACATGTTTCTGTGTACACACACACTCTCTTTTTTACAAAATGGTTTCCTGCTTTAGCTACTGGCGTGTCCTTTCTCGGTGCAGCATCAGGATGTGGACATCTTTCTGTGCACTAAGTGAACTTCAGGCCAACATTCTTTACTGATGGCGTCTTCTATGTGTCCAGGACAGCACTGGTGCTGGGGAAGAGAAGACCAGCCTACAGGAAACCACAGCTAACTCCTCAAGACAGTGTATGAATCCATTCATTCAGTTCACAGGTATTACTGAGCCCTGCCAGGTGCCAGCGCTCTGCCAGCTGCTGTGCCAGGCACTGTGGGTAGCGGTGAATCAGACCACTGTCCAAGGGAAGAGCCAGGGACCCTCCT